ATAATTAATCGGATAATTAATAGATAATTAATTATCTATTTCAGTGGTACGACTCGGATACACCAGAATCTGAAGAACTTCCATGTGATTATAGTACGCGAGTGACATTATTCGAGAAGCTAATGTTGATACGCTGTTTTCGAATCGATCGCATATATCGTGGTATTATCAATTATATTATCGAAATCATGGGCAAGCAATACATTTCGCCGCGTCACTTGAGTTTTGACATGATTTTCGAGGAAAGTACGCCGACCATACCTGTAGTCTTCATCTTAAGTCCGGGTTCGGATCCCACTTCGGAGTTGATGAAGTTAGCTGATCGGTACGGTTGCAGTGGAGGAAAATTCAGGTATCTCTCGCTCGGTCAGAGTCAAGAAAAGGTAAGATATACAATAATAAACATTTTGTATTTATGTTAAAATTTGTTCTTGTTAAAATTGTTGCGTTGAGATTTTAAACATATCCGAATTTATTAACGTAATGTGATTGTATTATTTGAACCTTTCGTACTAATTTGATATTCAATATTTCTTAGTGTTAAAGTAATATTTAAGATTAAGCGAATGATTAACATTAATTTTCTATATTTTATAAAATTGTGCATTCCATTACCTTTTAAAAATTATTTATTTAATAGATCGCAATAGAATTACTGGGAACGGCGATAACGAGAGGTCAATGGCTGATGTTCCAGAATTGCCATTTATTGATGTCCTTCACGAAGAATTTAGAAAAAATCGTGGAGAACATAGAAAAGCCTCATCCCGACTTTCGCTTGTGGCTCACTACGGAACCCACTCCTGATTTTCCAATTGGAATACTTCAACAATCTCTGAAAGGTAGAAACTTATGATATTTCAATAATTATTATATATATCGTATTTTTGAATGTTTATTGCAGTGGTGACGGAACCACCGAGTGGATTGAAGCTGAACTTGCAAAACACATACTTCAATATGCGACCACAGGTCTTGGAAAGTTGCCCTCATCCTCTTTACAAGCACTTAATTTACGTTCTAGCGTTTTATCACGCAGTTATCCAGGCAAGCGAATATTTAATGTGATTGCACGTTTAATCCTTAGATTAATGTTTTTAATAAAGTGCTCTTAACATTGCAGGAGAGAAGGAAATACAATAAAATTGGATGGAACTTAAAATACGACTTCAACGAGTCAGATTTTAATGTGTGCATTTCCATCTTGGACACTTATTTGACGAAGGCAATGACGACGAAGGAATCTGAAGTACCATGGAATAGTTTGAAATATTTAATTGGCGAAGTAAGTTTAAATTTTGCGATCTCTACATTTCTCTGTTTATGAGTATATAAGATCTCAATTAATTTATATGTTCACTCTAGACCGAAAGTTTGGAAACACTCTTTCTACAATTTATACAGAATGATGGTATATACATTCCTGGTTTAATTTAATCAAAAAGTGTTTTCAAACTTTTGATCTGGAATATATATCCATTTTTTATTGTTGTCCCGAGTTTCTTTTTCGTATAAATTTTGAATGGAAATTATTGTGTTTTATACTTGAAAATAACCAGGTAATGTACGGCGGAAGAGTGATAGACAGCTACGATCGTCGCATTTCTTACACTTACATGGACGAGTATTTCGGCGATTTTCTCTTTAATGAGTACCAACCGTTTCACTTTTATAAAGATGATATCGTCGACTATGTGATACCGCCAGAAGGAAATCGCGACGATTACTTACAATTCATTGAAGAACTTCCCCTGGTGAACGGTCCCGAGGTATTTGGGTTGCATTCAAACGCTGAGATTGGATACTTTACGCAGGCAGTTAAAGGAATGTGGAAACATCTTATAGAACTTCAACCGCAAACCGGTGCGAGTACATTACATATTTTTTTTTGCCTTATCGAATACTATTTTTATAATAATCACTATAACAATCATATGATAAAATTATGACAAGCGTAACACAGTTACGTTAAAAATTGTATAATAAACATAAAAATTAAACATTTAAACAATTTTTGAACTATTTAATAAACGTTATAAAAACGTTTTATAAAACACATAACGTCTATTTCTTACTATTAGTTAAAATATCGTTTTTATATGAGACATTTCGACGATTGAATAAATGTATGTTAATATTTTAATACAGCATAAAAAAGGTTAGTCTAAACGTTTTTTAAACGTAAGTTAGTCTGCTTGGAGCGCAATTATTAAATACTTTAAAATATAATTTTTTAAACTCGAGTTCTCAAATATATTAAAAATAAATTTAATTAAATGTTAAATAACTTAAATTAATAATACAGAATATATCATTATAATTGATTGGAAAATGCAATAAACTCGAAAGTTACTCTTTTTATTCAAACAAAAGCTACAAACAGTTTTTAAATAAAATATAACATTAAAAATGATGTTTTTGAAAATAATTACGATACTGCTTTTTCAAGTAAAATAAATTTTTATTACTATGTTTTTGTTCTCGAGAAAGCAGTATCGTAATTATTTTCAAAAACATTATTTTCAATTTTATATTTTATTTAAAAATTGTTTGTAGCTTACTTAGATAAAAAAAGTAAATTGCACTTTCGAGTTTATTGCATTTTTCAATCAATTATAATAATATATTCTAAAATTATTTGTTCAATTCTTTAGCCGTGAGCGTCACTGGAGTCAGCAGAGATGAGATCATCGATAACATAGCGAAGGAAATCTTGACCAAGATACCGGCGCCATATGATATTAGTAAAGTCAAAAGAAATTTCGGCGTTGGCGTGACACCGACAGCGATTGTTCTATTTCAGGAATTGGAAAGATTCAACAAGTTAATAGAAACGATTACGAGAACGTTGAATCAATTGAGAAAGGTATATCTTGAAGTTAATAAAGACTTCGAGATTTCAAACTTTTGACCTGTTAAATGCATAGATTTAATTTAATTCCTTTATACTTAATTATTCAATAACTAATCAATTACGTATAAATTCTGCACAAGATGCATTTTTATCATCTTTATTAATCCTTATAGCATCTTTATTATCCTACTTTGTTGTAATAACGCAATTACAATATTTTGTCCCAGATTTATATTACAAGAAGAGATAAGTTTCAAACTTTTCGTAATATAATAATATAAATTTAGAATAAGAGTATAAAAAATTCGTAAATATATGAGCAATGAGTTTTTTTTCATTAGAATATTGTTAATTAAGAACGAGTTTGATGTCTAAAATAAAATTATAGTCTATCGCTGGTGAGATTAGAATGGACGTTGTGCTAGAGAACATTTCCATGGCACTCTATAATGGTATGTTACCTAAAGAATGGGCCAAATTGGCGCCAGACACACGAAAGAATCTCGCTGGTTGGATGGATCATTTTCAGAAGAGGATAAACCAATACACAAACTGGGTATGATTAAGCGAAATATCCCTTACGGAATTTTATACTGGCAATTTATTATTACTGAAAAGTAGTGATTAAATACTCATTTTAAATATTAAAAGCTGAATCACATACTGAAAAAAAGTTTGATTGCATTAATAGAAATTCTGATTGAAAATGAATAAATTAGAATTTTCTGCTTGAATCTATTATAATTCCAATTGAGATATAACTAGATTTCTAACAATGAGGTGATTACAATCTTCTGGTTCTTTCATTTTTATTCAGAAATTGTTCTCATTATTAATGCAGTACTAATAAGTTATTAATCACTTTACACATCTTCCAAGTATAAAATTTCTGTAAGAGGTGCGCGCTACTTAATAATATTTATTTTTTCTCTTTGTTAGTCCGGCGCGAATGAACCTGTGGTGCTGTGGTTGTCCGGATTGCACGTTCCGGAAACTTATCTGGCGGCTCTGGTGCAAATGGCTTGTCGTAAGAACAATTGGCCCCTCGAGTGTTCCGTTATTTACACGACTGTGTCCAAGTTCTTTAAGCCTGACGATGTAGAAGAAAGACCCGATCAGGTAAATTCCAACTTGCTTTACTTTTCGCAATATTTTATTAAAATCACAACAATATCGCAATCTCTACATTCAATACTCAAAATTATACTTTTCCATCCGTGTTTTAAACAGGGCTGTTACGTGTACGGATTGTATTTGGAAGGCGCTAGGTGGGACAGCGAGGAACATTGTTTAAAAAGATCGCATCCAAAAGTTCTGTTTGAAACGCTACCAATATTAACCATAATACCTACTGAAGTTCATAGATTGAAGTTACAGGTATTAAATTTGTCAGTCTACGTATAGTAACGTAGTAAGGAAAGACAGTGTCAGTTGTTTGACATTTTTACTATACTATTGATATTAATTAATGGACTAATTAATAGAATAATTAATTTTTCCAATTCACACCAAGCAATATTTTTATTTTGCACTTTGTTTCTTTTCTTTTGCATACAATATATATACTTACAATTCAAATATAAGAAATCAACAAAAATTTTAATTTATAATTAATATCTTCAAATAACTGCAATTCTTAAGAAGAACTTCTAGGTCGTACAATGGACAATTCTTATTTTTACGCTTGTTACAGAATACTTTTAAAACTCCCGTATATACTACATCGAATCGACGAAATGCTCTCGGTGTTGGTTTAGTTTTCGAGGCAAATTTGGTGACTGCAGAACACATTTCGCATTGGATACTTCAGGGTGTTTGTTTAGTGTTAAATACAGATTAAAACGATCTTCGAGATCAACAGAAGAAAAGTCAAGAACCGCTAATTCTTCAGTATATTTCACGTGTAATTAATACGTTTACTATTAATTAATAGTATTTATTGTAGCATAAAGATGGAATGGTCATTAAGCTATTCTTAAATATCGTAATTTTATGGATTATGCATAATTTCATGAATTTTTATCACATAACAATAAATGAGAAAAGAAAAGACAAAATACCGTGTTCAACTTTTAATATTTATCGATCGAATATCGAAGATTTAGCAGAAATACATAATTATTTCATATAAATAATATAATTAACATCATTTATTATCGTCCAACCTGCGATACTTAAGCTGTGGTAGACATAGATTGTAAAACGAGCTATCGATAAAATCATTTAAGTTTTGCCACTTTACCCACTGATCGTTCTTTAAATGTTCTGCACTTTTTGCTTTTCCGACGAAGTGCGGATCTACAATTAACAAATACACGTCTCCATTTCCAACGTGTAATCCTACAATACATTTGCTAGAACAATCTTTGTCTCCGCCCATCATAATTGGACTGCCAAATTGCTCGAAATGTCTTTTAATCTTATCCACTTGTTCAATCAATCCCTTTCCGCTCGACACGTAAATTATTTTACTAAGAGCTTCATAAATTTGATTTAAAACAATAGATACCTATAAAGTATTTGAAATGTTAAATCCTCTTACATTTAAAACCCCCAGACCTGCTAAGAGAATTAAGCTTACTTCAAAACTTCCTATCCATTCTTTCGATCCAATAAACGTTCTGTTTTTATCCTCCACTTCGACAAGGATCTCTTGTATTTTATTAATGCTTGGAACGATTTTTTCCAAGTTCTCATTATTTATGATCCATGAACAGATGGTTTGCAGTGTCCTGTATCCACACCCCCAACCCTGAATAAATGTAAATGTATTTATTTTGGTGATTTAATTTTAATACATAAGAGAATGTTAATTGTAATTATATATCCCCATTAATCAATCACCCTGTCATTAAAACCATCGCAACCATAGTGCCAGTACTCGTAATCTCCTTGAACTAAGAATGTTTCACCACTATCTGGCAAGGTTAAATTTTCGTGAACGTTTTTCAGTAAATTGCTGGAATAATTGACAGTCATCTTTTCCACGTGTTGTTAAAAAAACCTAAACAAGCATAACATTTATTTATACATTATATATAAATATATTATTATTATTAATATATTAATTAATATTATATATAATATAATTAATATATTCTATTATTATTATTTATTTAAATATTAAATATATTTATAAATATTTCTTACGAAAATTTTTCTTTAAATTTTTATACAAGTATTATCTAGTACTCTCAGAGTTATTAAGAAATGTTCAAACTTTAAGAAAATGCAGGGAAAAAGTCGAGTTTTTCAAAATTTTAAAATATTTATATCTCTTAGGCCGCGGTCGAGTTGCCACTACGAATGCTTTGAAGCGTTTGATTGACCAATCGAAAGAGTTTTATAAATTGACCAATCAAGAAACGCTTCAAAGCATTCGTAGTGGCAACTCGACCGCAGCCTTAGTATAAATACTTAATAAGCTTTGTATGAAAAAGTGCCTCCCGTACTTGAATGAAATCTTGGGTACGCTCCGAACAGATTTGCATTTCCCGCATTTCGGCAAGTATCGTCTAACAACTTCACGTCACATATGTTACTGTACTATCAAATAGGGATGTAACGAAAGATGGTTATAGCGAAAACGAAAGGAAAAAAATTTTTTTGCGAAAGCGAATGCGAAAGATCTTTTTTTTCTGCTGAATGATTAGTTGATTACATCAGCTACAATTACAGACAGTTATGAAAAATAATATATAATATTAAAAAAAAAAATTGCTAATTCTTATTCAAATTATTGAATAATGGACTGAAAGAGATGAATGCAAATGTGTAAATTCGTATTTATTTGCATATGAACGACTTATTTATTTTAAATTAAATCAAATAGAAATAACATACAAAATATATTAATTATAATTTATAATTATATAAAATAAAAATGCAATAAAATATATTCTTAATTCTTATTCTTGAATCGGTAAATGTCTCGATCAGGGGACCTCCCCCCCCCATGACCCCAACCCCGACAACATATGTCAAGGTCAAAGTCACTGGGAGGGGTCCCCCGATCGAGACATTCACCCTTTTTATTAAGTCAACATAAAATAAAATTCTTAGTTAATAAAATAAAATACTTCTTTTTTAAATAGATTTTTTAATTATATTAAATTAATATTCAAAATTTAATAGTGGCAAATTATATTTTATAAAGTGCAGTTTTGCCGCTTTCTCACTTTTTAATTTATTTCTCAGTGGATCATAAATCAAACTAGCACCACTGAGTAGCTGCTCGCTTGGTACACTCCCAGGAGGAGTTGCTAGGAATTGGCGAACAATTGGGATTAAATCTTTATATCTATTAGTATTTAATTTCCACCACAATAGAGGATCTTCTGTAAGCTGAAGTTTTTTATCTTCATTGTACTCTGTTAACAATGACTTTAGTCTAAAAAGTTGATTATAGGTGTTAGAAGTTGAGTCTCGATTCAATCGAACATTATCAATATCATCATCACTGCTTGAATTTGAATTTAGAATATTTGCTAATAAAGATTGTAAGTGCGACGAATTTTGCATTGCGTGTGAAGTTATTGTATGCTCATCATTAGATTCCATTCTTGATTTTTTAGCCTGAGATAAGCTATCGAATATGGATTCAGAATTTATGAGGCTAAGAAGATCAGATTGTACTTGCTCTCTTTTAATTTCACTGAAAAATTTTAATTTGTACCGAGGATCTAAATAGGTGGCGATTGCAAATGCATTATTATTATGTAGTTCCCCAAATCTTGAATTTAGTTCTTTGATTAATTTGTGTATAAATCTTTTGAATATTGCTGAAGTGTCTGTCTTACATTCTTCTTCTTGTAATGTTGATTTAAGAACATGAAGGAGAGGTATAACTGACGATATTAAAATATTAGTACTGCTCAATTCTCGAGTGATCTCTTCAAATGGTTTCAGTATAGCTACGCATTTTTCCATATCTCGCCATTCATTAGTAGATATTGTTATTTTATTATACGTGCTCAAATATAATATAACAGAATCTTTAATTTTTAACAATCGTTCCATCATATAATATATGCTGTTCCATCTAGAAACAAGACAAAGCAAATTAAGATATAATTAATTAATTAAAAATAAAAACTTAATTATTTTATTTCTAATTTCTATCTATATTAATTATATAATTAAAAATTACCTAGTTGGGCAGTCTTGTATAACATCAAGAGATGGTTGATTAAGTTGCTGTGTTTGTATTTTACGTAATTCATCTTGAGCTAATATGGAATGGTTGAAGTGTGTTGCAATTATTTTATTTTTTTCAATAATTTTCAAAAGATAATCTTCAGATTCTATACCTGCTCGGACACAGAGCTGAATTTCATGTACGGTGCAATCAATGTGAGTAACATTTAAAACATTCGTAGTTCGAATCATGTTTGAGCCTTGATCATGTACTATACAATGAACTTTCTCGATTAGGTTCCATTCATTTAACATTATTCTAAATTTTTCTGATATTATAATATCCGTACGGCTGCCTTCCATTGGTTCACATTTTAATATAATGTTTACTTTACAAAAATCTTCTGTAATTCCGTGGGCAGTCAAACTCAAAAGAGAAACGCCAGCACTAGGATCTGACCAGATGTCACTTGTGAAAGAGAGTTTATTGAAATTTTCTAGTATCTGTTTTACTTTATTAATCATCCGGTCATACAGATTTTCACATAAGAATGAAGTGAAATATTCACGTCCTCTCAATTTATAACAGGGTAATGCAGCTTGCAAGAATCGACGAAACCCAATGCCTTCGACAAATTTAAAAGGCAAATCTTGTAGAACAATCATTTCTGCGATTAATTTATCGAATTCAATTGCCTTTGTATAAGATGAATCCCAATAATCTTTTTTCTGTAAAGATTCTTGCAAAGTTATTTGTTTTTTTATAGCTTGAAATGGTGTCAAACTCGCTTTATAAGTTGATGCGACGACAGGTTGTTTTAATTTATCTCGTAACTTTATGAATTTCAAATACTCATCATTGTGTTTTAACTTTAAATGTGTTATTAAACCTGAAGTACACCGTCCTTTGCGAGAATAAATGTTACCACATATTTTACACTTGGCTCTGTCACTCATCTCCACTTCATCATAAAAGTTCCAAATAACACTGGATTTTGGTTTCATTGTTATTGTTAATTATTATCGCTTTTCATTTTAGACTTAGACTTACAACTTACAATTAGTTCTCATCAGACTTAGTTATCACAGCAGCACAAACATTGAACTGACGACTCGGCAGGCGACATTCTAAACAAATCGAAGCGACTGTTTTCTTGTTTAAATAAAATATCTAACGAAAACGCTGAAAATAGTCGAGCGCAGTCATTATTAATCAACAACGTGGCCGACAGCAGACAGCAAAGAGTGAATCGTGGCGTCACCTGTCAACACGTATGAACCATGCAGCGTCTTGCAGCGATGCTCCACTGGCTCCACACTCTCCGTTTTGGCGTCGCGTGACTTTACAAGGTGGGATTTAATCGGAAATACGATGACAGAGATCTTACGTCGAGCTACACTTATCGATTTTATTCCTTATTCAAGGTTAATTAACGATGGCGAGAACAAGCACCGATCAGTAGAATGGATACTAGGATCTCGCGTAGCGAAACGTCGATTGAAGTGCGCGAGAGCGTGGAATGATAGAGGAAGGGAGACAACAAGCGTGAGAGAGATAAAGCTATAGCAAGCGAGACGAGAGAGAGAGAGAAGGAGAGAACAGAAAGAAAGAGAGAGGGAGAGCTAGAGCGGAGTAGACTGGAAAGGCGGAAAGGAGACTTGCGAGACGCGTCCGTCACGCACCGAGTGTTTGCCTCGGCTGGTTGGAACGAAGTGCGCCATTTCCCAGGGAGAAAATGAGAACGACGTCCTCGTGTTCGGTAAGCCGATTAACAACGATCGTTGTATTCAATTAATAGCTCAAGTCCGTTACAGCCGGGTTAGAAAGAGCCCCCGCGGGGCCGACCCCCTTCGAACGATCGTTTGACAGCTATACAAAAGCCAAGCTATTTATCGATTTCTTTCGCCGTAGTATCGACCGCAAGACTCGTGTCCTCGCCTCTGGGGAAAACTTAGGCGATCCTCGATCGCGATCTCGTCGGCCGTCGTCAACCGGGCGTCCGTCGTGTATTCGAAACGCCTTGGGAAATTGACGGCTTTGGAAACGTCTCCTTTAGGTTATGTTTATTCCGCGACACTCTGGCTTTGTTTTAGATATTTTAGACTTAATCTACAAAGCGTTCTTTTTCTTTCTGTTTTTCACTGTTTTACCTCTTATTCTTTTTTTTCTCGTGGATGTTTTAACGACAATCGTGTTTCTTGTCAAGTGTTTTTTGTCTTTTCCGAAGCTCAACTTTGATTTCAGTTGACAGAAAACAAAGAAACAGTGGATGTAGTAATAGACATATGACATAGTGAATAATATGGATATACAGTGAATCATTACAGCCTTGTTGTTCGCTAATGTTAAACAAAGATGAAATGATCACTGTGTTGCACTTCAGCTGTTTTTCAGCATGAGACACAGACGACATCGATAATATAATGTAACACAGTAAATCTATATCTTTGTTGTTTGCCATTGAATGAATGTGTTATACTGGGTACTTTCGATTTAGTAACACAAGTCAATACAAACATCATTGTAACTTTTTTGTCATTCTGAGAGTAACAAAGATAGAATGACATTTATGTCGACTTGTGTTACTAAATGGAAACGTCCATTGTGTTTCTTGCTGAAAAGTATTATATATTAGATATTACAGTATTGGTTGCTTCCCAGCAAGAGATATAGTTAACAAAATAAATTATTACGCTCTTGTTATTTGTCAATGTTAAACAAAGGTGAAATGATTACTGTGTTACATTATATTTTATTAGAAAACACCAAGTATAAGTATCAGTCTCTTGCTAAAAATCTTGCTAAAAGTATAAGAGCCTTTTTCTCTCTTCTTTTTTATTGATTTCAGTCTCAGTCGAGGTTGACTTGGTTACTCTAATACTATATATATCCAATCAATTCATAAAATGATTGCTAACATTATGACCTTAGAAGGCTATACCAAAAGATGTCTCTAATTTCCTTCTAAAGTATAAGTTAAAAAGACAAAAGGTAGAAAGTGGAAAACACATGAACCAGGAAGCAAAGATCATATCATAGATTAATCTTGTGTCTCACGGTATTTTCATTTCTTTTGTGTCAGCTGTGGATTATTTGAGATAATGCAAGATTTAAACACCGCGGGTTTGTCTGACATGACAACCCCGCGACGTCAGTTGCACAAGTCTTCTATCTGAACTTCTGTTACATTAAATGTAGACCAACTTTATCTCAATTGAATCCCAAGTAGAACACAAAAGTCATAACATTATCATAAAAAATCATCGTGATCTCATTTGTCATTTATGTAAGTTAATTTTTAAGAAATAAATAATGTCACGATAGCGTTCTGTGATATCGTTGTGACTTAATTATGATTTTGTCTTCTATTCGGAACTTTTTATTTTTTATCTTTTTTTAATTCTAAAAAGTAGGAAAAAATGAAATAGTAAATCAAACGAAGATTAAACATTGGTTAACATGAATATCAGCTTAATAGACTATGTTTGTCATCGTTTTGATGTTTCCTTGTTTCTCCTGTCAGTGAAACCATAGGAGGAGGATCTGGCGCAACGCTTGAGAGAGCAGGAAATGTACGGCGCTGAGAGGGAGGAGGTGTCTGAAAGTTGGCTGCATACATATGACCTGAGCAGTACTATGATTCCCAATGCGAGCACAGCGATGGATGATGAAGAACATTTCTGCAAACTTATTCTGTACAAGGAGATTAAGGACTCCAGGTAGGCAATTGTTGTAATCGCAGTAACACAACCCAGATAGAATACAAAATCATAATAATAAGATGATATAGAATAGAAATAATTTTTCAGAATTTAATTATAAAGAATCATTCGATATACCTTTGATAATGATTTTGTAATGAATTCTTGATATATGACAGCAATCTTTAAGTAATGTTTTTAAAGTCAATTTTGATTTAAAAATCATTTATCCTCTCAAGAATTCATTACAAAATCATTATCAAAAATATATTGATATTATATTATTATAATTTTTCCCAAAATGATTTCTACTTGATACGATCTTGATCTTATTATGATTTTACCCAGAAATATCTGATCTGACTGAATAATCCATTCATCGTATTTTGTTCTACAGAGTACGAATATGGGACATCATCATCTTGGTGCCGAACCTCTTGTTTCTTCTGTTCATCGCAATGCGATTTAACAGGGCGAGGCTTAAGTTACGTGCAACGAGTAGCCCAATATTTTTAGCGTTTTACGGTCTGGTCATTTGTAATGTAATTATATCAGTGGTGCGATGCGTCGTATCGATGACAGTGAACGCGGCGGCGACGACGGTCGGCGGCAAGGCTGACAAGGTCCTATGGGTCACAGTGAGATTTTTTCTACTGTCTACTGAGATGAGTGTAGTTATATTTGGTCTAGCGTTTGGTGAGTGGAGTATAGAAAGTCTTTTCGCAAAAAAAAGAGACCGCTCAAAAGTTTGGAATACCTCTAAATTTTGAAAAGTTTAAGTTAATCAATTTTATTTACTAACATCGTAAATGTACGAATGTTTGAACGAACTAGGATTGAAATCTATTAAATGGAAAAGAATTATTCAAGATTTTTATTACTAAATTTTATTACTAAATATCTGAAATCTATTATTTTATTATTATACATTTTATGGATATTTGAAATACTTTTATATTTTTAACTTCAAACTTTTGAACGGTAGTATAATTATTTGCTAATGTACGAATTATGTTCTCTTAGGTCATTTGGATAGTCGCTCTAGTATTCGTAGAGTATTACTTGCTACATCCTTCATAGCGCTGGCATTCACGATCACTCAAGGAACACTGGAGCTAGTTCTACCAGATGATACGTTTCATATTCCCAGCCGCGACTTTTACGTATTCGGTCATGGCGGCATGATGTTTTGGTTTTGTAGCAGCCTCGTTTTCACAACGGTATGCTTGCCTACCGTTGTTCTCTTGCTAGTAAAAATTGATACGTATCACTGAGTATGTCGATGTGTCGCTTTTAGATATATCTCTTCATATTAATACTGCCATGGACACGGTTGCGGGACCGCCTAGCACTTCCTAGTAAGTAGCTGTGTCATAAAGATTATATATGTAATTTCATCGCTGATTACGAGTTTATGATACACTTTCTATTGTAGCACGGAAAAGTTTTTACGTTTACGCTGGAATACTAGCAACGTTAGACCTAGTGCAATCGATTGGCGCAGGCTTTCTAAACTACACACAAAATCCAGTGGGATTATGTATCGTAGACTTCACTGCAGCAGTATATTTAACTCTTTTTACTCCTTTGGTTTATCATACATTCTTGTCGGAATTTTTCGGGTAAGTTACTTGATTGTTGTTACTTAGCAATATATAACTTAAGGCTTTTGTTAACTTAGTACTGCTATCTCAGAGTATGATATCAGAAACAAGAAAACACTAAAAATTCTTGCAAATTACATTTGAAAATTAAAATATTTTTCAATAAAAACATTTGTAATCAACAGAATTGGTTTAATATTAATATAAAATATAAATATAGTATAAAATATCGGTAGACTAGGTTTAAAATATACCGCAAATTTCTTGTTTAAGAAAGAAATTAAATCTTATTTATTTCTATACATTATTAATGTGACAGTTTGTTACAGGTCTAAACATAGCTTATTTCATTTGGTTATGTTTAATTCCAGCTGATATTTTATCATCTTTTATAATAAATAATTCAGATAATTATATATATAAATTATATATATATATATATATATATATATATATTTAAATTAATTGATGAAAAAAAAAGAATTTTTAATATTTTATAAGTTCTATAAATTATAAGTGTTGTTATATTAGAATATATATTTTTATATTAATACGTGTTGCAAACATTTGTATTATCTTTCCGCTTCTGACGTCACAGTATGAGATAACAGTGGCGAGTGAACATGAATTTTAAACAATTGCACTGTCATGTTCGGTTGATACATTTTAGAAATCCTTCTGTTTTAGAGTCTCGCAACCTTCGATAATGTTCTCTTATAAAGCACAAGTGGACGATGCGATGGACGAAGACACTGTGTCATTACCGCATCAACAGAGTTTTTCATCCTTGAAAACTGACAGCGATTACATCTATCAGGTCCATACTCCTTCTATTCACATACCGCTATATGATTCCCGTGCATCAAAATCCTCTAGACCAACAGCTTCTCTTTATTCCTTAAGATCCGCTAAAGACCTAAAAAATAATGACTCAAGTACTTTCGGTTCACCAGTTAAATCGTATCGCTCGACATCCGGTATTAGAAGCTTTGGTAGAGATTCCAGCATAGAAAAAGGCGTTTCGGAAGTGGACGAGTATCCTTTAACCAAATCTACCGCTATCCAAAAAAGCGTGCCAGATCTAAGATTCTCCAGCCCGATCCGAAAAGCCACTCCTGTTACGTACGATGATCCCAGTAGTGTCTCACATTTACTTCTCCCGACTGACACCGCTAGTAATTTCTTTTACAAACCAAACGCAATTGACAGCAATATTAATTTATTTTCTCAAACGAGGAAAAGTAGCTTAGAGAGTATATCGCCTAAAACGATCATAGATCACGTGACTGCAGCTGAGAACCTTTCATGCGGATATGATAGCTCCTCAGAAATATCTCAGGGTCCAGCGTTAGAAAACACTTTACAGTCCATCTTGGAGAGTGGAACGGACGAAATCGAAACGGTGGTTCCTCAAAAATCTCGACTAAAGACAACTGATACTGATCATTTAATCGAAGATGGTACTGCTAGTGCAGATCCAAGACGTTCAACGACGCGTATCAATACCGAGATTTTTAAAACTTACTCGAACGATATGTCTCCTGATTTATCCGATTCAAACGTCACGCAACAATTACTTTCTAGAGCGACTTCTCTTACAGCTAGCGCGCACAAAAAGAGTAAGAATGATTCGAAGGAAAGAGAGCCAGGTGGCTTAAGTGATTATTTATTATCCATAACATCACCGAAATTTGTAAAACACAAAAGGAGCGAGACACGTCCTAATCCCTCCACGGATTCAGATTTTTACACACAAACTGAATCTTTGTAAATATCTTATTTATATATACGGCTACAGTCGACTGTATATATCGTAGATGATCTTCCTAAGTTTTACATTAATTTTATTAATTATTAATCCTTATATTACAACGAGTATGGCGAGGTACCATTCGAGAGCTTTATCTAATTGTATATATTTGAGCATGTTTAGAAATATCGTGCAATTAAACGTATTGATGTAGTCACAATGCACTTGGTTCATTTATTTACACTAACTTTAGGCAATCACTCCCTTGGCAACGATATCACTCTGCTGTCTTTTTACAGATGGAATCTCGTAAACGTTTTTAAATGATATTTCGTGTACATTGTACACTGTTAGCACCAACGCTTCAATATACCATATTGTGATGGTAATACACGCGTAACTTGATATTTTATTATTTCAAAATGCTTTTGGCTGACTTTGCGAGCTTCCGTATATTGCGCAGAAATATAATCTCATTATAGCCTCACACAGTAATTTCCCTCCTTAAGCTTCTGTCTTCTTATTGCACTCGTGTGAAATAATGTCGGAAGTGAAAAATTATGTGAATTTTATTTTGTTTAGAAAATAAATCATATGACTTTTCATTTCCAAACTAAGAAATGTTGAATATTATTTTAACACAAAATATTCAAATAACACGGTCACATTATGTTAATAATAAAATGTTAATGTGTGTGTGTTAAATAATAAAAATATTAAAAATTTAACACAAACTTTTTATCTAAGACTTCAGTAGACAGTTTCTAACACAAGTAGAAAGTATTTTTTACTATATATATAATTTCTAATAAAATTTCTTACAATATCTAAAAAAGTATAAAATATTTTTTTCAAAAATTATAGAATGAAAAATCTATTAGAATATTTTCACATATATGAAAAATTTTAAGAAAAGATGTAGACTTTCACAATATTTCTGGAAATATTTCAATGTGCATAAAAATTCTAAGAAAATGTTTACCAGTATAGTGAGAAAATTAGGAATCTTAATAAATTAACTGACTAATTATGATTAGGGGCCTGCCTTGATAAATGCAAAGCGGAATGTTCTTTTTTTTTCTTTCCAGAATCACAGTGTTTATGACTCGACCCAGTTCGACACGAACACTACGCCAATCAACCCGCTCTACGCGGCATCTCTTCAAAGCCCAGATAGTATTACCGGTTATAGTATAGACAGTCAAGAAACGCCGAATCCGCCGAATGGTTACCAACAATGAACCGTCGCTCATAATCGATTCGGAGTGTGCTATAAAAACTAGAACGAGCCTGCGTATGAGTTACTTTATGATCAAATTGCAGTTTCGCTAAGAGCTTTGTGTGATCTTCTCTACACGAGAATTTGTTACTTTTTTTTCGTAGGAAAAAGAAGCATCTCATGCGAGAAAAAGTTCGGGCTCGTAGTGAAATAGCGTGCGATTGTGAATCGAACACGAAAGGATTCTAGTCGCCCTTGGGTATTTTTAGGGCCGCGTAATAAATTATTACGGAGAAAAATACGAATGCTTTCGGTCTCCATGTGATAGTTGGCATCGATGCCCAAATTGTGATTGGAAACGCTGGAAGAAATCTCGCAAAATCCGGAATCTCCAGTTTAGCTTTAGTTTGCTTTACTTAGGGCAAATTCTTGAAAGATGATTAGTAATAGCGTATTAATTCACATTAGTTTTGTACTTAAATAGATCTTAAAACGTCAAATGAATTTTTACTGCACGTGAAAATAGAATTTTTTTTTGGTGGCGTTATACATTTATCTCAAAGACGTAGGTCATTCTAGGATTCGCATACTTCTACTTCCTCCCGACCGCAGAAATTAATTTATCGCGCTTTCTTCATCTATTTTAACCTGTAACTGGAACGTATGTATTGGTGACATCAGAATTTGTCGTAATTTTTGAATAATTACGATTTCGAATTTTGTTTTACAATTTTTTATTTCACAGTTTTAAATATAAAAAATTTTTTAAAAGAACAAGATCAAAAACCTTAGTCCCAAAGGCCCTTATGTTTTATATAAGCATCGAAAAAAATATGTTCCTGTTATATGGATTAAATATATTTTTTACTTAGGTGTAAAATCAGTATAGAATAGTAATTAAAAAAAAGTTCACTTCTAAATGCCTTTAATTAGCGTAGCTAATATATATGCGACTTTTAGAATGTCCTATATGCACGGTTGATCATCATCGCCAAGCATCATCCTCGTCGATAATGCTGTTGTTTTGTATTGAGAATTGCAAGGTTGGTGTGCCGGCCGTGGATCCTAGTAAGACAAACAAAATACTTAGATTTAACTTCTGAAACTTGCTTATCGTTTCTCCGTCCTTTTCATCAAAGTGGACGTCGTCGTATTGCCCGAAAGTCCTCATGTGTGCGCGAAGTGATGCGCAAGCGACAAGCCGGACACTCGCTATTTTCTTACTTTTGCATTGAAAATCATTAGATCGATTAAGGGACAATAGGAGTCATTAAAGTTAAACGTCGCGCGAAAAAAATTTTTAGATTTAAGGAAAAGAACTCTTCAAATGCTCCAATAATTACGAAGACTCCATCCATGATGTATATACATGATCTGTATAATTCTAGTGTAAAGGATCGTACTATTTATATATCTTAATATATACATATATATATAATATATATATTTATCAATATATTACGTATCTTCGTATCGTAATTAAATTCGTACAACTGTGACAGATCTTAAGATACTAATTGCTCCTGCGCTGCCCGCGTTTTTCGTCTGGACGTTTATCTCGCGCAGAGAAAGAAGGAAGATAAGAGATAAAAACAGAATATAAAATCATAATATCATAGAAGCGTCCACTATCGTCATTCTCAAAGACGCGTTCATAAGGTTGTAGATTCCTCCGTTTTTCCTAGTGCATTAGAGAAAGGAGAGAATCCAGGAGCGAGCAAAATTAATAGTGATACAACGTAATTTATTTTCTAGCAATATCTATAAATTCGTTCGAACTTGTATATACGAAACGGTGTGCGTGGAACGATGTTGTACACGATGAGTCTCTGTCAATTGCAATTGCTTTTAACCATCTTCGATTATTCGTCACCCTGCACTCCTCACGAACGTTACCTGCGATCGTCTGACCGTGTGATTTTTTTGTAAGCATCGAGTGCAGTGTATAAGGCAATATATTATGACCGCGTCATATAGCTATACCTAATTTTAAAAAAAGTAAAATAAACACGAATAACAATTCAACACGTATTTGATTTAATCTTTCGAAAATCTTATCCTGCCTCTCGATTTTTATGAAGATGACTATTATATTAGGTGTGTCTTTATATATCGTGTGTACTGAGGGATCGTTGACTCGCATCGCTTTGCACACTGATCGCCACATTTGACGTCACGAAAAACTTTCTCTTTGCATTAAACTCGGTCAATGGCGTACGTTATTCAACGAGATTCGACTCGAGATTGAGCTCGCGATGTGTCGTGCCTGAAATCGGCAAGTCCAACGTGGTTCAGAGACAAATGTTCAGCAATACAAATAGTTCTATACGTTTGTCCATGACACAATAGAGACGCGATATAAAAAAGCGCGGATCGAATAGCAAAGAGTTCCTTATGCAATTAATTGAGCGGATCTGAAACTTAAATTATGCTCTTATCTCGTGCCCTCTTTTCACAGTTTGGCTGGTAGAAAAGGATAGAAGTCCCAAATCTTGCGTACTATCGTATCGTCACACGTGAAAGCTCGAAGCACATCGGGATCTGCAAAGAAAAGACAAAGGAGCAAGATAAATTAGCTTTCCATCAGCTGTTTTCTATTATTTGCGGTAAAAAGGTTCGCAAAAGTCAAAGGAGATGTTTTGAAAGTCTTATATTAATTGATGACTATAATCATTGTTCACGTGATATTCGATAGCAGATGAGAGCACATTTAAAAATAATTTTAGTCTAATTCTAGATGAAAAAATAAAACAGGAATTAAGAATAATAAAAATTGCAATTAAGGCTTCGTTTCTTAATTATAAATGTTATAATAAATACGTAAAAAATCCCTAAACTACGTGAAAAAATATTATAAAGATATTTATAATTAAAAAGAACGAAGTGCCTAAATTGTATTATTCTTTATTTTGTAATTCGGAATGTGAACAGTATAATATATGGTGCAGTCTAGAAATGAGACAATATACAAATAAAATAAAGAACACGTCAGAAAAATATCTTGAATATTTTTTATTCAAAATGGTATCCTTTTCAAGTAGTACTTTTTAAGAGTAGCTTTGCTTTCGTTTGAATATTCTTCTAATCATTTTCACGAACTTCATGACTGATTGATCACAGCGGCTTGAATTTTTGGAATGTCTATTACATTCTATTAATAATAACAATTATTTTGATGTTCAAACAAGATTGTTTTAGACCTGTACTAAATTTTTAAATACTTCAGCAAAACTGTTCTTTCCATCCAATATTATTTGCGACATAACATAACTCTGTGTTTGCAGAAAAGATTAAAAAATCCGCTTGAACGCGCATATGTTTGCCTCTCTTTGCGACGTGGAAGGCTTACAGTTCATTCCGTCCAAATTGTATAGTCGTTAGATCGTCAGGGTCAATTTAAATTTGTTTACTGACTATCAGTGCGCAAGTATTCCCGTAGGGGCCCGCTCAGCGTGGCAGCCGGCACCGCCAAACTCATCCGCGGGTAGAGCATACTGCCGTCCGAGGAGAGGACGTTGCACACGACCATTCCCAGCATGTCCCCGGTCGCACGGCTGACGATCGGCCCGCCGCTGGTACCGCTCTGCACGCAACAGGTCGTCAGGAGTGCACACTCCATCGACTTGGAGACTACGCCACCGCTGATAGTCGGCCGAATGCACGAGGAGAACGGAAATCCTACGGAGACTATTGGCTCGCCTAAAAGCACACGAAACGCAACTTGTAAGCTTGAATTTAGTCGATTGAGTGTCTGAAATGTTGCAGTAATTTTATCCGATGTTACTGAAACGGGAGTAACAAACTCTAGGTATTATAAATATAATTTCCTAGTGAAAAAAGAGTTTCATTATATTTTTAAGAACTAGTTATATTTTAAAATGAAAATTTCCTAAAAAAAACGTTAAACTTCAAAATTTATGGGTTAAAAAATCTTAGAATATTTCAGAATTTATAAATATAAAGAAAAAGTGAATATAAAATTTATGAATATATAAAAAAGAATTTTTCTATAGAAATTATATAAACTTTCTTAGAGAGTGTATTCTTCTAAAAAGTGATTCAATTCGTATAAATAATTTAAGAAATTTTTTAAAAAGTTAATTAATAATTTTAATATCAATGTAACTCTGTACATGTTTGCTCGTAAAAGCGAGTGCTTTTGAAAATTCTGCGTCACTGTTCATATAACATGTTCAATAAAGCTCTTATAGAACGTGGCAATAGACTTTTATTGCGATCGGGTAAATAGGATGACTTATGTGTCGGTTTCTAAGTTAGAAGAATGAGGCCAAATATCAATTTCACCCTCAACGACGATCAATTGACCCAATTTTTCACAATTATATGTTATTTCTGTACCGATGGAAGAAGGTCAATGTCCCTGGCGTTGAGGCGCCAGGAAACTGTTTAACACGCTGCTGGATATATCGCTAATTTCCTCCTATTACGAAGAAAGCTACAAGAGTAAACTTCGATATACTATCCGTCATTTCAAATGATAACAATTTGAACTATTTGAAGCGATTGAATTATTAACAGTCAATGCATCGCTTTCGATGAAACAAAGAGGATTTGACAATGCTAAATATACTTGCCCTTTAAAATTGCAGTACGAGACAACCGTACTGATCTCAGCGAGGGATCCACGTCCTGCGGATCCACCCTCAATACAGCAACGTCATAGGGTTGATTCTCTGGCGTTCTGTATAATAGTTTCGCCCGGATACATGAATTGGCTTTGTCCGGCCTCATTACGACCGATATCTCTCTTTCTGGCGCCTGTCAGAGTTCATTTTGACTTAGTTATTATTATATTGAACATGAAATGTTTAATGTTGCAGATTTTAATATTAATAATCGGATAATATATTGCTATATATATACTGAATTTATTGCGCAGAATAAATTTAATAATTTTTATATTACGTGATATAATATGTTGCATATTTTCTATTTTTTTTACCTTTATGCGGATAATAAATTTATCCATGTATCTTCATACTACATATTTCTTCAATAATATTTCTTTATAAGAGTTTAATTTTTACCTCCGCAATAACGTGCGAGCATGTTAGGAATGTACCAGTATTCTTATGTACGAGGACGCCTGTACCCCAATTAATTCCACATCTAACGAGCACGACGCCTCTATCTAATGCCACTATATGAAAAAGAATAATAAGAAATCTTTGCGTAATAGATAATAGCAGAAAATAACGTTCATTAACAAACCATCTGCATTTTCTTGAGATGTAATCGGACGACACGAAAGATTCTTCTTCCGTAAAATATTAAACACACAAGGCGCAAGATTAGCGGCGAAAGTGTAATCCACCCATTCTCCGCGACACCAGCTCAATGGTGCTATCACCATGCCGCTGATAATTCTGCGTTTGCTAAAAAAAAAAAAGAGCTTATAATGAGACAGTTTTAAACAATTTTTACGATAAGATAAACCATTGATTTCATTATCGACCAGTTATTTATATTGAAATCTTTCTGAGAAACTAGTACTTACAATTAGATTTTAAAATTGTTGACAAATTCTATATATTTGCCACTTTAGTATACATTACGATATATCTATCAAACATTCTAGTCAAAATAATCAGAAATTTTATTACGACAACCAGAATTCTGATTAGTATAATCCAAACAGATTCCTCATAATCAGTATATTTTCTATAAATATAATGAATGTGTGTGTATGCATACGTAAATACATAGAACTCTATAAGAATTATTATAATTACCAGTTCGGCGGGATGATGTAAACGGGACCGCCCTCGCCACCGGGAAACGCATACGCGTCCGTCATGATAACGCAGTCTTCGTCACCAACGATGTTACTGATAACACCGTGCGCAATCGAGCCGGCGAACACAGGATTGCCGAAGGGCGTCGACTCGATTATCACGGATGATCCACGGATAAGATTCGGTGGAACCTGATCCAGTAGACAAGACAGGGCTTGTTCAAGCGACGTTTCTACGATCGATTCGCCGGAATTGTAGATACGGATGAACAGAAATATTGATCGTAGTGATCGAGTGACCTCGGATGACTTGGGGAAGCTCCACGTTTTGAAGAACTCGTCGAAGGTCTTCTTTAAGAGCGGACACTGCCAAGCAGCCACAATCATACCGTGATGTTCTTTTAATGAGCTTGATCGGGAATCGTCATCGCTCCCTAGATGGTGATAGACTCGAAACTTCAACTCATTCTGGAGTTCTCTCGGCACTGTTATGAGTTCTCCCGGTACCATGTTCGTAACGAAATTCAGTACTGCGTAGGACTTGTCGATAATCGGGCTCAATATAATGCCATGTGTCAATATCCAATCCATTGAGATCGAAATACCGGAGTATCCTTGCGGCAACATCAATGGATCTTTGTCAATCGATGAGTGGAGTAATAGAGCGCTGCTTGGAGTGTCCATCTTTCTCGATGCTGTACATAAAAAAGTGGAATTTTATAATTTTTGTATGATTGCAAAAAATGATTGTATTTAAAGAATTAAAGATAATACTAAGAATATATAAAGCAATATTTTCTTATCTTTCTTTTAACAGTACATGAAATTAATACAACATTTTTAATGCTTTAATTGCCTAATTTCGCTGTTAAGTTTAATAATCGTAGTGGTGCATTATTTTAAAATACTTTATTGTTTTTATTCAATTTGATATATTATCTTTATACTACAAACTGCAGCAAATACAATTTTAGTAGAGATCTCATTTCGATTTATATGTATACCTATGTATATATAACTCGTTATCTCATCAAATAAATAAACTTCAATCTTTTTCTGTATATCCAATCAAGACACGGCTGTCGCACCTGTTACAGCCTAAGTAACAGCGTGTTTTGTAACACGACAGAAATATTAAGCGATCAAACACGGGGATACTCTCGCAGGGAGCACAGCTGCCACATTCGTCGCGCAATTCAACGGTGAAAGGGTTAATTGTCGCGAGCGCGGCACCGTGAAATCGCGGTGCTAGCTCGATAAAAAGGGCTGATGAAGAGAGGAAAAAGGATAGAGGGAAGGGAAAGTAAAATAAAAAAAGAGACGTTTATATCGCCGCGTAATCGTGAGTCACCATCGTGCGCGGTGAACCAAAAAGAATGAGACCAGAAGTGGAGGAGCGATGAAGTCAGGAATGACTTGTACATCTGCATCGTTCACGAGCTAGGAAATCCCTTTGCAAATACCGTATGATTACGGCCGCATACTTAAACGATAACGCAAGCGCGCTGCGAGAAAAAACTGACTCGCTGGGTTCTTATATAGTCTTGAGACTCTTATTGTTAGCCCCGAGGTGGAATTTTAAAAATACATTGCTTCTTTGCTATACAACGACGTAACTGAAAGTAACTGAAATTTTCCTGAAAATACGTTTGAAAAATTACAGTTCTACGATATAAATTTTAAAATGTAATATTTTGTTCTTTTAAGAATAATTAATAAGGTGCCTAATATTTTTGGCCAAGACTGTAGATATGTGGCTTTAAAGAGTTTAAAGAGAAATATCTCATCTGTCTCGGGAATCGCACGGCGTGTTAAACGGCGGCGGTGCGATTCGTCGCATTTTTGCACGGCTGTCTGCAAAGTGGAGCACGTTGCAGGAAAATCTTCCAGGATAATAAAAAAGTGTTGAAAATAATTAAGTGACTCATCGGTCGAGACATGTGTGCACGATAAAAAAAAATGAGACAAACGCAAAAAACGTTCGCCACGAGGCGAACGCGCGAGAGCGCGTAGAATACGTCATACTTTTGTAGTAAGCGCGTGACGTATTAGAAGGTCCGGTTTTCTCGGAACGTGAACCGTACGTCAAGGAACTGGTTTGACGGCACGTGTCACGAAAAAAAGATCTAAGAACGAGAGGGGGAAGGGGAGAAGGACACCCAAAAATAAACGCAAAACTGAATCACAGATGTCTGAAGAGTCTACGACAAGATGATGACATATAATGAATGCGAGAGATACAATCGGCGCTAAAGAGAAACACGACATACCAACACAGTTAAACAAAAAATGACTGTTTTTTTAATATCGCGCGCGCGCGGAACAAAACTAGTGTGTTGTCTTTCTGCGGTATATTTAAAAGGAATCATTTTATAAATAGAGATGAAAGGGTTCTGTGAAAAAGCTCGCTCGTGTACCCGAGAATGGCGTCAACGCGCCATTCTCAAGTTGATGTGCCTCCTCTTCTTTTTTCTCTATTATTAACGATTCTAGGAGGCCATCCAGGTAACACACGAGTGTGTTATAGGTGAAGATTTCGTGGTAAAACGTGGTCGAAATCGTAAAGTCGACGTGAAGTAAGCTCGAAATGATCTTTATCGCACCTATAAAATTCTAATCGCATCGTAAATATAATTATTCAGTTCTTTCGTATTGTTTCTTTAGTCACCGAGAACAGTATTCTGATCGTCCGTTCGGCGGAACGAATTAAAACTGGCACCGCGCAAAGGTATTTAAACGTTAACTGAATCCCCGTCCACTTTGGAATTCACGGTCCCCCTTTCGAAACAGCCGGTGCTTCTTCCCGATCGACTTTTGTGTTCTCTTCTTCTTGCTTCCTCCCTCTCCCGACAATGATGGCCGTGCGACCGCTTGCCAGCTTGCCAACCGATCTTCAATGAAGATTGCCGACTATCCTTCCCCGTGTTTCTTCCTCTTCTTTCGCTGCTCGTGTATTAACCGCTTTTGCATACGAGATACGTACACGCTAACATAAATTTGCATCGTCGTCGGCCAACGTGTAGGCGAAGTAAGGTCCGTGAAGTTCACCAGATCGGAGTTTGCCAAAAGCATCGACGCGGTATAATATATTTTTACAGTCGTGATTATTTTTATAATCTTTGGAGTTGATAATAATTAGAAAAATATATTTTATAATTATAAAATAAATCTATTCTTCTTAATTTATTTTATTATGACACGCTTATATATATATTTATAATACATATTCCACCAGTTTGGTAATTCCAATTAGGGAAGCAAAAACAAGGTTTGATTTATAAAATAGATGTGACGACGTTTCTCGCTTACGATAAAATTCTCATCAACTTAGCTGTTAAGTGTTATTCGCAACTTAAACGAGTTGAACAAAATGACGATAACGGACTGGATAGCCTAATGGATGCATCCATCGATCGCTTCGTTTTGTCTCTGCTTCTCCACGAAGTTTCTCGAAAAAGACCACACGCCAGTCCCACCATTTACGGATACGCGATTCATTTATAATGCGGGGAGACGTTAGATAAACGCCTAATTAACGTTCGCGAACTAATTTCGCTACGATTCTCTGTCCGCATAAAATATCGCCGTAATTAAGTTCAAGTCAGCATTAGCGAAATCTACAAGAGAGAGAGAGAGAATAAATGGACTCGAGATTCGGAGAGACGGGAAGAGATATGTAGTTTTTTGAAATTTTTCAAAGAAGTACGCTCCCTTATAAAAACACGAAGAGTTATTTAAATAAAATGTTCGTATCCACAGAATGCTATCTGCAACTTTCTTGCGAAAGATTCAGCGCGTACACGCTGTTAAATTCGTGATGACAAATTATATCAAATTGAAGTCATTTTCGAAAGTGGCCACTGCTGGTATTCAATATATCGTTTTAATTTAGCTAAAATAATGAAGTTACACATTTTAACTCAGGAAATGTATTTATCTCAAATTCAGTAATTATTAACCAAATGCATATTTAATATTTACTTAAATATTTTATAAACCATATTACATATTTTACGCTAAAATAAACAATTTTGAAATATACGGAGGTTAAAAATAATAAAATTTACTCGAAATATATCCGCGAAGATGCACGCGCATCACTATTTTCATCGCGATTTTTTCTACTTGCCACTCATTCTACATTATGATTATACCATTATATTACTGTTAGAGATATCAAAAGAACAATTTCTTGAGTTAAAATAACATTCAATTATTTTTAATTTCCACGTGTGTCGAAATATAAATCAATCCATTTCTGCAATGTGCGGTTTGTTTTAAAGTAAACATCCATCTTATGCATTTAGTAAATAAATTTAAATCAATACATTTTCTTGTGAAGTTGTTCCACTGCATTAGTCAAATTAACGATATATAGGAACAGTGACGACTGATAGAAATGATTAAACGTAACTCAAAGCAGGTATAATTTGACATTTAACAACGCGAGTGATCCTTTTTGTAGATACATTTAAACGAGAAGTCCATGTAGCACAGAAGCTTTGCAATGTTGCCGCAATGTTACTGAAATGTTGCAATATTGCTTAAATGATCCATGCTATGGGGAGGAGGTACGTATCCGCCGCGCCTGTCCGATAACTGACCGGTTCTACTGCGAGCGGTGGAGATGCGGCGCGGCGCGCCGCCGCTATCCATAATTTTCTGCTCGTGACTTAGATCGAATAACGATGGTCTTCCGTACTATTTAAGTCACGCGCTGGCCTGGCCGCTCGCGGCGCACGTTCAATTACTGAAACATCGCAGGGATAATCGGATTTCGCAAACGCCGCCGTGGAAATTCTACAAGCCCACACAGGCCTCGCCTTGCATCGTGCGAGCGAGCTAACTCCTCCAGCGTACTACACGCAATTTATGTGATAATTAATAAGTACTCGACCGCGTAGATCGACCGCCGGATGGCCGCCGGCGGTGGTCATTCGAGTTCGATTTTTCTTCCGCGGGAGTCTTAGAAATCCACGTGCGCTTTTAAAGCGCTCTTGTATTTCTGCTTTTGCGCATCGTGTAAAAATTACAGATACCACGCGAGAAATCTTATCGGTTATATTTAACCAAACAAATTGCTTGATTGGACAATACAATATCTATATGATTTTGCTGGATAACATTGCAGATTTAAGAATAATTTCTTAGACTATCCAAATAATTATACAAACAATAAAATGCTGCAAAAAAGTTTGGTATTCTACATAAGAACGAGTTTAAGCTGGATATAAATCTAAAGATAATTTCGTTTCCAAACGTAAATCGATAATTAATATGGCACCATAAACATGGCACCAAGAACGCTAAAAAAAGATGTATTTCATCTCTGCCATAAAGGAACATGTCTATATAAGCATACGACGTGCCAAGGTCGTCGCTGGTTCGGCCCAAGGCCATCCCTGGTACGATCGTGTCCAGAAAGCACGTAGGTCGCGCTAACTCGACGATCATCGGCATCAAGCCACTGGTTTTCTTCTCATCGCCGGGAGGATCGGCTTCCTTTCGCGGTAAAGGAAAAATCGGACTCTCGTTCGGGATGGGAAATCGCCGGAGTTGGCAAAAGGAAGAAATTGCAGCCAAGAGAAGCCGTTGGGGCGTGTCCCGGACTGGTAAGCTGGACTAGTTTTTGCTCGAGTCTTGCACCGGTAGACCGCTTGGCACCTCGGAACGTACGGTGCATC